GCCTTTTATTTTTATTTGTATTTTTTGGAACAGGACATTTTGCCAGTGAACTCAAAGCAAGGCCAGCCCCTCACACGGAGCAGGCACATTCCTGTGAGCAGCCCAGCCTGTGAGCACAGACACAAAGGAGCAGCTGCAGTTCTGCAGGGAGCTGCATTTCACACCCAGCTCTGCCCGGGCAGGGCTGTAACAAACCCACCGTGCCTGCCCCCAGCAGCACTGGCATGCTCAGAGCCGGGCAGGGAGCAGAGGAGTTTTGTTTTCCCTTCACATCTGCTTGTGCTCATTATTGGGCACGGGAGCACAGGTGTGCTCTGCAGACAGGATTGCTCCTCCCTGCTGGACAGGTGGCACTGTGCCACCTCAGAGCAGCTGATGTGCCACAGTCAGGGCAAGGCTGAGGAGCCCCAGCTGGAGATGGGCTGGGAGGGCTCCAGAGGAACGTGGGGCTGAGCAAAGCAGCTCAGAGCCATGCTGAGAGGACAAGGATGGAGCAGAAACCTCAGCAATCTCTGCCTGGGCAGTGCTGCATGCCAGGCTGACACAGGCATGTGCACACACGTGCCACAGACCCACTGAAAGGAGCCCCTTTCCCCCCTGCATTAGAGCAGGCAAGGCAACCAAATGCTTAAAAATAAGCTTCCCTCTACCAAAATCTGTCAGAGGGAGTTAACCTCCTTTTCCTCCCATTGATTCTATCGTGTTCTGCCACACAAATCCTTCCCATCTGCTTAGGAGAAAGAAAAGGACAAATACAAAAGAAGAAAGGAGAGCAGCCCTGTTCAGCTCTGCAGGGCCCTCACTGACAGCACCACAGTGCCCCAGAGCCCCCCTGATCCCCCACACAGCCCTGACCTTGCTCCTGGGGCTGTCCAGATCAGGGGGCACCGTCCCCACACCCAGACCCTCCTGGCACAGCTGGCTCTTGGCGTCCAAGCCCTAAAAGAGAAGGCAGAAAGGATCAGTGTGGGATGGGCAAGCAGAGATGCTGACAGCAACGTCCCAGCACAGCTCAGAACCCCCTCAGCACCCCATGGTAGCAGAGTGGGCACTGCAGAGTGGGCACTGCAGAGTGGGCACTGCAGAGATGGGCACTGCACCGTGCCAGGGGAAGCTGGAGCCCACACCCAGGGAAAAAGGAGAAAAAAGAAGGAGAAAAGGAGGAGAAAAGGAGGAGAAAAGGAGGAAGACGAGGAAAAGGAGATTTTGGTGACTCACCAGCAGCTGAGGCACCTCATGGTCAGAGCTCCTGGACACTGGCAGGTCCTGCTCACAGCCACTGACCCTGGATGCCTTGGAAAGCTGAGAGGAAAAACCCATCAGAGCCTGCACGGGTCCCACCCTGCAGCTTCACCCGGGCACTGCTGCTGCCAGCACAAACCTGGCCTGTCCCAGGCAAGAAAAGGCAACTGGACATCATGGGGGAGACACCAAGGATGTGTATGACCCATAGGACAATGACCCACAGCACAGGGATGTGTGACCCACAGGACAGAGATGTGTGACCCACAGCACAGGGATGTGTGACCCACAGCACAGGGATGTGTGACCCACAGCACAGGGATGTGTGACCCACAGGACAGGGATGTGTGACCCACAGGACAAGCACAAAGCACCACAAGGGCAGGAGGAGCTGGAGCTGGGGAGGGCACAGAGGTGCTCCTTGAACACCCCTGACACAAGGCACTTGCTTCCTCTCCATCTGCAAGGATCCCTGCAGCTCTCAGAGCTCCCAGCCCAGCGCTGGAGCCATAAAAGCACTTTGAAATTCCACTTTGCTGTGCCTAAGTGCCCCTGCACTCCCAGCCATTTGCAGCTGCTCGATGGGAGCACCCTGTGGCCCTGCTGACCTCAGCAGAACAGCTCAGGTGCACAGAGATGAGCAGGGGAAAGCAGCACCCTCAGCTCTTCAGGGCGTTTTCCAGGCTCAGATTTGCAGTTCATCATTTCTTACAGACATTACGCATCAGTGAGCTTGAGAAACGATCAGAATCAGCAGGAAGGCAGCCAGATTGCAGAGAGATCGTCCATCAGATCCCCAATTCTGGCTGGGATCCTGCTCTGGAGCGTGGGCAGGGTGGGCAGCACGGGTCTGGCAGTGTGACACAGCCCCAGCCCTGCTCCTGCAGCTCTCCTCACACACAGGCAGGGTCTGTGCTGCCAGAATCTGCGCTCCCAGCTCCAGAACCAGCTCCAGAACAGCCCTGGGCTCTGCCCCACTCCCAGCTCTCACCTCGCACGGAGCCATGAGCGCAGCTCTGAGCAAGCTGAGAGCAACCACAGCAGGAGAAACAAAGCAGCAGGGGCAGCTGGGCTCGGGGTGAGCTGCATTGCCAGCCCTGCTGGCCCAGCACAGGCAATGGAAGCTGGGGCTGCTCCTCCTGCAGCCGCAGAGCACAGAACACACCCAGGGCTGTGCCTGTGGTGGCTGTGCCTGGGGTGTGCAGCAGGGAATGACTGCCCAGCTCAGCCATGAAGGTGCCCAGCTGGGGATTCAGAGCACTCCCAGGAATGACTGCCCTGCTGAGCAGGAAAGGCTTGGGCTGGCTGCACAGGGAAGCAGACAGTGCCCCAAGAGCTGTCCTGAGTCAGGGCCTGACGAGACAATAACAGCCAACACCAACAGCACACAGGCAGGACTCTTACTTTGCCATCATCCAGCCTGTCCTCTGACACTGAACCAGCTGCTGCCTCTTCCCTCTTTTCCTGCAGCGCCCTTTCTGCACAGGACAGGGTGTCAGCAGTGGCAGCCAGGCTGGCTGGCTGCTCTGTGCCCTCCACAGGCAGAGGGGCAGCTCGGGGCTGCCCGGCAGAGCTGGGCACCTCCAGCCCTGCTGAGCTCCTGTCCCCCTCGGACAGAGGCAGCTCCTCAGCTGCAGAGGCGTCTCCTTCCACCTGAGCATCTTCTGCCTGGTGCCCAGCAGGCTCCTGCAGCTCTGCCTGGGCACTCAGGCTGCTGCCAGGCTCCCCAGAGAGGAGCTGAGCTGCAGACGGGGGGCACGCCGCTCCAGAATCCAGGGAACAACACTCTGCTGCTTCTTCAGGGTGCCTCGATTTTAAGGATTCCTTCTAGGCAGCAAGTCAAACACAATTACAGACCCAACACTCTCCCTGGGGGATGCAGGAGTCAGGATCAGCGCAGGCTCTCCTACAGCAAGCAGCACAATCACAAATCTTTGGGTGACTTCAAGACCTGTTTGATTTCCTTCCATGTAGTCCCATTCCAAGGCAAGGGACTCCAGTGGCATAACCTCACTCATTTCTTGGGCTCTGACTTCTTTTGATCTGTTGTTTGTTTATTCACAGTGGGTAAGAGTGGCTGTGCAAGGCCACCAGCCCTGTGAGCACCCACGTGCCCCACTGCAGGCCTGTTTGTGCTCCCACATTGGATCTGTCTGGTGAGAGGTGGAAATTTGTAAGAGACCCCGACAGGACAGTTCAGTTCTGCCTGCTGACATTTCAAGCAGGGGAGAGCAGGCAGGATCTCCATCCCACCTTCCAGAGGGACAGACTGAAAGCAGCACTCAGAGCTCAGAAAGAGCCTGTGACTAACACAGGAGGCTGAGAGATGGGGGAAAACCAGCCCCAAATTAAAGCTTAGTCACCCAAAGGTTCCTCTGCCTCTCCAGCAGAGGGGAGGCCACAGCACTGCCCAGGGACAGGGGCATGGCCAGGGGAAGGCTCCCTCATCAGCATCAGCATGCAAACAGAGCTGCTGGCACGTCCCACTCGCTCACTGTTTTATTAATGCCACGCCGCCTTGTCAAACAGCGCCTGCCTCCTGTGCACGCCGTGTTCTGTACACTGAGCGCATATTTTAGCTGTGTATTTTTATCAGAGAGCCTCTGGAACGCTCTCAGCTCCCAGGCCAGGGCTGCAGCGCTCCTGGAGCACGTTCTGAGTGTGTCACTGCTCTGCCAGGGCTGGCACAGCATCCAGCAGGACGGAGAGGGTGGAGGAGCCCAGCTCCAGGCACTGCCCAAAAACTGCAGCTCTGGGGCTCAACTGCAATCAATCCCCTGGCACTGACAGCTCCCAGCCCCTGGGTCACCAACCAGCCACGGGAGGCTCCTGGGGACAGCAGGACCCAGTAAAGGTGGGCACAGCGAAGTTCTTTAGTGCTTCCCCTCTTATGGGGGTTAGGGTGGCTGGAATGTTCTGCTCCTTTTGCACAACCTGCTCCAGAGTTCTCCTGAGGACATCCCACCATGGGACCTGGCAGTGTCCAGGATATCCCAAACGAGGCCAAGCAGGGCTCTGATGCCTGAACAGGATCACACACACCCCAAAATGTGTCAGCACACCAGCAATGGTGTGCACACAAAAGGACCTCTCCCCAGGCAGGTTCACCTGAGCTACTGAAATATCCCAGAATAATCTCTTTGGCTGGCAGAATCCTGTTTCAATGGCAATAACAGGCAATCCTTTTGTCAGGCTCACACCTTGATGATCACAAATGCAGCTCTGCAGAAGAGGGACCTGCGGCAGTCAGACCCACAGGAGGAGGAGGAATAGGAAGGTTTTTCCTCCTGCAGGAAGACTTTCTATGAGATTTTCTAGAGATTTTCTCTGTATTTCAGAGCTGGGCAAGTCAGCTAGATTATAACTGGCTTTGGGTGATTTTTCCCAAGCTGTGACATCCCACCCACCCCGAGTGGCACTACCTGATGGGAAATCCCTGCCTCTCAAACCACTGCTCCCAGCGAGCAGCATTAAACTTTAACCAGCACCAGCAACAAGCCAAGCAGCTGCAGACACCACACACCACAACACCAGCAGCTGCCTACTGCATGCAAAGCCTGGCTGGCACCGTGCAAGCAGGGCAGGGATGCCAGGGAGCCACTGTCACCTCTGCCAGGCTGGCAGCTTCCTCCTCAGGGCTCCCGTGGGGCTGGGCAGCACCAGCAGCACCAGCAGCACCAGCTGATGGAGGGCTGCCACGCTCCTCCTGCTCCTCCTTGCTGTTCTCCTGGGTGGGGGGACACAGCCACTTGCAGGATCCCCCACAGCACCTCCCCAAGCTGGAGCATTTGCCCACCCAGGACAGGTCAGCCCCCACCCACATGCAGCCCTGGAGCACAAAGGGACCCACAGGCCCACATTCCCAAACATTCCCAAGCTGTGGATGCTTCTCTCTGCTTTTCCTGCTGGCCAGCTCCATGAACTCACTGCTCCTGCTCTGAGCTCCCTGTGAGCTGTGTCTGATGCTGCCTCTGCTCCACCCAACATCCTGGCTCAGCAAGTCACTAAAACCTCCTATTTCCTCTGAATACAGGCCTCCAACCCTGATCACGGGCTACATGAAGCAGTTTTTTTCATTATTTCACCCATTTCTGCTTCGATTTCCCCCTTAGGACCTGCTACCCAAACCCTTGTCTGCTGCTTGGCAAGGGAGCAGCTGAGGCTCCTCCTAGGAATGCTTTTCTGCTGCCATCTCATGGAGCTACAGAGGATTTCTGTTTTCCAGTCGGGCACTGCTGCCTTATCAGGACTAGGCTATCACCGCTCTGGGTCAGCAGCCTGGCTCTTGGGCAGCAATTGCCATTCCATAATGGATTCCCAGAGCCCCATCCCCACGGCACTGAAATGCCAAGGCAGCTCTTTGTTCCTGCAGACATTAACATTGCAGTGAGGAGCTGGGCCCCCACAGGCTGCTGTTGTCTGGAGATGAGAGTCAGGGCTCTCTTTGTCACATCCACTTTAGCATAAGCCTCTGCAGATCCTGCCCAGCGCCCTGAATAGGTTCTCCAGCAAAGTACTTTACAGCTTAATTTTCCTGCGCCGTGAAAAGGATAAGGAAAATACTCTAAAACACTTTAAAAGAAATTAATTTGCCTTTCAGATACTGGAACAGGATTTTCAAAGCGGTGAGAAAGGATTAATGTCAGCACAAACAGTCGGGCCAAATCACCAGAGCTGCTTACAACGCACTTCCCATTGTGCCCTTGTCATGCTAAGCCTGATCCCAGCTCAGGAGCAGAGGGAAAGCACAGCCCCTGCTCAAGCCTTGGCTGCTCTGCATGCTCTGAGCCCCAGCATGGGATTTAGCAGCAGGCCAGCAGGCTGAGGAGAAAGGAGAGCAGGTTTGGTGTTGGCACAGAGAAGGGGACACGTGCAGCCCCCACGAGGGCTCCTGTGGAACCCAGGGACAGCAGCAGAGCATTCCCAAAGGATGCTCCCCTGTCCCCTGCCCAGGGCCAGCACTGCAGCTTCTGCTGCCAAGGAGCCTTCCTCCACAGCCCTGATGAACAGAATGGAGAGACTCTTCCTCACTGAGCCTTCCTCCACAAACAGAGAGCAGAATGGAGGTGCCTCTTCCTCACTCTCACAGGAAACTCATCCCTCTGTCACTGTTCCTGCACCCTCATCCCCTGGCAGTGCCTCTCCCACCTGGATCATCACCCTGCTCTTACCTCAAAGTCAAAGCTGCCTGCCAGGGCTTCAACGTCCAGGTACACGTTTTTTAACAGCCTTGAGGTCCCAGGGAAACTCTGAAGGATAAAAATAAAAATAAATAAATGGCCAAAATGGAGTTCTCACCCGTGCAATGCCACAGGAGGGGTTCCTCAGCAGTGAAATTGGGCAGCAGAGCCATGGCAATGCGCCTCCAAATGCACCTTGGAATGACACCATGGCAGATGCTCACTAATAGGGATTCCATGTGAAAATAGGGTCAGATGATTTTGGGGACCAAGCAGCACAAAGAAAAGAGAGCACAAATGGAAGAGCCACTGCCAGGAGAGCACCAGGAGGCTCCAGCACTCTGCTCACAGCCAGGGCACACAAATACCTCATGGTCACTGTCCTCATCTTCCTCTCTCCATTTCTCTGGCACTGCCACGTTCAAGGGACGTTTCTCTTCACAGATCAAATCCAGCAGGTTCTTGGTGTGGCTGGAGGGCTTTGGGATCTCTGCAGGCTGTGCAGGCCAGGAGCCAGGGAAAGGAGGGGTCAGACAGCAGGAAAGGGAAATACAAACCCACTGAGACACTGGGCTGCTGGGGGTGGCAGTTTCCTACCACTCAACATGCTTGTTTATTTCTGAAGGTGTTTATGTTTTGCACACATTTTGCTTTGGCTTCCTTTAAAGGGTCAATTTCTTCCCATTTAACAAGTTTCATTCACCCCCAGGTCACTTTCTAGTAATAAATAAACAAAGCATTCCACATGGTTGTAATCCTTACACTCAGCAGGACAATAGCTCTTTAAATTTTATCCTCAAATAGATGAGTGAAAGTAGTTTATTAAATTGCATTATCTGCATTGTTTGTCATGCTCCATTTGGGCACCAAATTCTACTAAAACTTAACATTCTTTTTTCCTCTGCAACAGTTATTGAAACAATTCTTTCAATCTGCCAAAGACAGCAGAAGAAAGCTCACCACTAATGTAGCACTAGAAGAAATAGAGTTTTTTAACATACAACGGTATTTCCAAACTGACAGAAGATCACAAACCCTGTCATTTAAGTGTCCCCACGCCTTTGCAGTGTGCCTCCAGGGCACATTCCCAGGGCAGAGGGAGCCTCACCAGCGTTCCTTCCTTGGGGCTGAGGCTGGAGTCCAACACACTGCCCAGGTCCAGGCTCCCACGGAGGGCGATGGAGGAAGGCGGGGTGAGGCCACGGAGAGGAGAGAGGCTGCCCAGGGGAGGCTGGATGGGGGCCAGCTGGGAGCCTGGGGGCTGCAGGAGCACAGGGGGGTCACTGCCAGGACAGCACAGTCACACTGCTGCCCTGGAGCAGGACAAGGAGCTGCCCTGGGCAAACAGGGGCTGTGGGGCTGACCCTGCTCAGAGACCCACACCCACACATGGGACAGGTGGGGAAACAGGGTTGAGTCACTCACACACTCTGCTTTCCAAATGCCTGGCCCATCTGAGTGGGTCCTGCATACTCCCCTCCCTCCCAGACACACCAGTAGTGGGTGTTTATCACAGAGAATCTCACAGCCAAAATCAAAGGTGATTCTGTACCCAGTGCTCCCACCCAGCTGATTCACTGCCCATCACTGGGCCTGGGGTCACAAAGCACTTTGTGTCCCTGTCATTCCCTGCCCAGCCCTCCCCAAAGCACTGCAGGCACATCCTACTCACAGGGAGCTCCTTCAGGAGCTGCTTCTCCTTCTTGTCCTTCTTCTTCTTCTCTTTCTTCTCCTTCTTGTCCTTCTTCTCTTTTTTCTCCTTCTTTTCCTTCTTCAGGCTGCCCCGTGCCAGCAGCTTCTCCCTCTCCCTGATGACCAGCTGCTTGTAGTGCTCATCACAGGGGTGCTCCCACGTGGAGAGGCCGCTCTCAAAGTTGAAGAAATAGACGTCACCCCCTGCAATGGCCTGGCTGCAGGGCAAAAACAGCAGGGAAAGGTGAAAGAGCACAAATCAAAAACACGGCTGCACAGGCCAGAATATCTTTGCTGATGGTGCACCTGAAGCTCAGGGAAGAGCAGTGTGATGTGTCCAGGGCGCCACAAATGTGCCAGTGAGGGAAGCAGCTCTCCCAGGATGTCATACCCAGCTTCCCAAACTGTTCTGCCACCCTGAGCTCCTGATACCCCAGCAAACCCAATCCTCTGCCAGCTGGAGCTGCTCCCCTTGTCCTGGCACTGGGAATGCCCAGCACAGCTGCTGCCAGAGCTCCCTCTCACCAGGCCTTCCACTCGGGGGGCAGGGGGGTCACCAGGCACTCCCTGGCCAGCCACAGCAGCTCCGACTCCTTGTCGGGGTCAATCCCGATCGTTGGTGCAAAATCCCGGATTTCTGGGGAAACAGAGAGCAAAATGTGAGCTTGGTCCACCCAGCAGAGCCACCCTCCCCAGCCAAAGCTGTGGGCACACTGGGAAATCCTGAGGCAAAGCCAGCAGCAGAGCCCTGTGTGCCTGTGGAGCCAGGCTGGGGACAGGGGCAGTGACACCATGGAGTGACACTCAGCTGTGCTAAATTCCCCTGTGCTCTGCCCTCTCCAGCACTCCAGAAACAATCCCCGTGTTCTGAACAGCCCTGGAAGTGACCTGCATGCCTGAATCCCCCCTCCCAGCCCCGGGGAAGGTGGGCTCACTCACCCTGCTCCATGGGAACGTAGGATTCATTGTAGTCCTCCTCCAGAATGAGCTGGTCCCCAATGCGCACGGCTCCTGCCATGGGTGCCACACCTGGCACGGGGAGGAACCACACAGAGTCACAGCTGCCCTCAGGAAAGGCAATTCCCCAGCCCCAGGACAGGGCAGAGCCCTTCTGCTGCAGCACACACAGCAAAACTGAACCAGAGAGCCCCCACACACACTGCCATGGGCTGTGGAAACAGACAGCAGAGCTGAACTGGACAAAGTTATAATCACATCCCCCAGGCTTCACAAGAAAGATGCTTCAGGCACTTTGTAACCAGGCAAAAAATAAGCTGAAATGAGACAGGGAAGGAAGAGAAACCAACCAACTTTCCCAAAGCATTGCTTTGTGATTTAACTCCCAGGGCACAGCACAGCTGGGCCCTTCCAGCCCATCCAGCACGGTTCACACAGCAGGAATTCACCCAGCTCACCCCAAACCCTCACCTGTGCCTCTGTGTGGCCACATTGGGCCAGCACAAGCACTGCAGAACCACAACTGCTGCTCAAGCACACGACTGAACACCAAGGTCAAACATTCCAGCCTAAACCCCCCAAATTCTCAGTGCAAAAAGCATTCCTGTGCTTTCCCTGTGAGACCCAGGGGGTTGTGGTACCTGCCAGGTACCTGCAGTGACAGCACCAGAGCAGGATCAGCACCTGTGACACGGCCAGCACTGCTCTCTCCACCTCCCCGTGTCCTCAACCCACGCTGTATTTATAACTCTTATGTAAAGTCAGTCTTAGAAGCAGCAACTAAGTAATCCTGGCACTTCCAGGTGATGATATCCTCAGGAGATCCAAACCACACCACAGCCCCTCCCAAACGCCCCCAGTCGTTTGGGTGTGGGCACCTCATTCAGGGCCTTCTATTCTTACTTTCCTCTCCCAAAACCATCTCAGCCCCATCTCCCATCCCTGGAGTTGGCACTGGGGGATGAGTGATGGGCTCACTCCTCTCCTGGAGAATCTGCCTCACCACAAATGGAGAGACCTCAGTGCGACCTTTCAGTGCTTGAGGGGGCAAGGGGGAACGGCTTTAAACGAAAAGAGGAGAATTTAGGTGAGATCTGGGGAGGGAATTCTTTCCGGTGAGGGTGGGGAGACCCCGGACAGGGTGCCCAGAGAAGCTGCGGCAGTCCCATCCCTGGAAGTGTTCAAGGCCAGGTTGGATGGGCGGCTTGCAGCGAGCTAGGATAACAGAAGGCCCATGCCCATGGCATAGGGTGGAACAGGGTGATTTTCAGGTCCGTTCCAACCCGAAAAACCGTTCTATAGCTCCGTGCAAACAGAACCGAAGCCTCAGCGCAGCCGCCGCCGCGCCAGCCTGGAGCCACGGAAAAAGCGCGGCTGGCAAGGAGAACAAACAGCTTTGGTTGATAGGGTAGTTTAAAAAGTAGGAAAAAAAGCCATTTTCGCCCGTTATCACGGCAGCACCCACGCGACACTCGCACAGCCCGAGCCCGCGTGCGGAGGGAGGCCGGAACGGCGCGGCGCGGGGCCGCTCCCCGCAGCCCCCGCTCACCGAGGGGACCCTCCCGGGGCCCGGGCCCGGTTCCCTGCCGCCGTGGGGCCCTGCCCGCCCGCCGCTCACCGTGCCGCGGGCCCCGTCCGCCGCCCCGCGGGTGCCGCCGGTTGCCGGGAGCGCGGGAGCCGCCGCGGCCGCTGCCCCAGGGCCCGCCCCCTCCCCGCCATTGGCCGGCGGGGCGATGCGCGCCACCCCATTGGCCGTCGGGGAGGCAGGATGCATGACGTCACCCCGGCGGGGCCGCCTGGGCTGCGGTTGCCATGGCGACGCGTGGGTACCGCCCGCAGCCCGGCCCGGTCCGGCCCGGCGTGTCCCGGTTGTCCCGGCGGGGCGGGACGGGGCAGCGGGACGGGCACGGGCAGGGGGACCGGCCAAGGGCCGCGGGCAGCGGGCAGGGCCGGGGCGGGTCTCTCGGTGAGCGCTTCCGCCGGCGGGCGGGCTTTCCGGGGCGGGTCCGTGCGCGCCGCCATCCCCGCCGCCGCCGCGCCGCCCGCCCGCCCCGGCGCGGCCGCCCCGCCGAGGCGCGGGGCGCTGCGGGCCCGCTGACCGCGTCCCCCGAGGGCTCCCCGCGGCCATGGCGCCCGCCTGGCCCTGGCTGCTGCTGTGGCTGGGCGTCGTGCGCGCCCTCCCGGCCCCGCCGCGCATCCGCCTGCCGCTGCGGGGCGGCGCGGCCCCGCCGTCGGGGCTCCGGCAGCGCCGGGCGCCGCTGGACGCCGAGCCCGACAGCGCCGGCAGCTTCGTGGACATGATCGACAACCTGCGGGGCAAGTCCGGGCAGGGCTACTACGTGGAGATGACGGTGGGCAGCCCCCCGCAGAAGGTGAGGTGGGAGGGGATCCCCGCATCTCTCGCATCCCCCGCATCTCCCTCATCCCCTGCATTCCCCGCACCCCCGGGGCTGCGGGTGCCGCTCGGGCCCGGTGCGGGGCTGCGGGGCGCGGAGCAGAAGCGCTGCGGGTGCCACCATGGCTTCGCCTCCCTCTCTCCGCACGGCCCGTGCACCATTCCTGCTTCTCATCGCTCCGCTGATGCTTTTCCCGCTGCCTTTCGGCTAAAACTGGCCGCAGGGCCCCGCCGAAGGTGACCCCAGCGCTCCCGGGGCTGCCCGGGCGCAGGGGCCGGTGCTGCGTGTGCCTCTACGTGCGGGCGAGCCAGGCTGCATCGCTCCCTCCCTCCCTCCCCGCTCCATCCCTCCTCCCTCCCCGCTCCCGAGCCGCGGGAGCCGCGCGGGCTGTGGGCGGCGGGCGGGTGGGATGTGGCTGCGCAGCCCCGTGCCCGCCTGGAGCGGGCACATGCGGGCACGGAGGAGCCCACGGCCGAGCCGCGCTTGGCAGCTCCTCCCAGCGCAGCCCCGGGCGCAGCTGCTGCCTGGCTCTGCCTGCTGCTCCCGGCCGCGAAAATTCTCCAGAAATCCTCCCGAGCTCGGCTTTCCCGGGCGCCTCGTGATGGTTTTTGCTGCGCAGGAGTTGGGGCAGCGTGGGGAGACAAAGTGCAGGAAAATGGGATGGAAAGGGAGCCGGCAGAGCAGGCGTTGGTGCGTCACCAGGCTCTGGTCCTGCTCCATCTTTTTGTCAGCATCCCTCACACGCTGCCCAGCTCGTGTGGCACCGTGTGCCTGCCTGCTGGGGACAGGGTGAGTGCTGAGGGCCAGGTGCCAGTCACACAGCACAGGGCAACCAGCTCCTCCCCTGTTTTATGGATGAGATCGGGGAGGTTCCCACTGCTAAATCCTTTTGTGCCCATCTTGATCCCCATTGTCACCAGCAACAAGTCTGGCCCACAGGTCCAGCTCGGTGATCGAGGCTCCAGTTCCTCCAAGCACAGGGCCACATTCCCTCATGCCTGCCATCAGCACTTTTTGGGTGCTGCCAGAACAGCCAGCACCCACACAGGCTCTGAAATAAAGGCTGGCTTTCCCCACGAGCTGGCTGTGCTGTGTGTGTGGTGGGAGAGAGCAATGGGAGCAAGGAGTGGATGGAGGAATGATACCATGGAAATTGATCTCTGGGAGCACTATTGTGTTGTCCTTGTGTGCCTGGGATACATTGCCTGGCAGGGTGTGTTTGGGAGGAAAAAAAAGGGAGGAGATTATTTCTGAAATCTGGTTTTAAATGTGATTTCATCATCTCCTGCCTGCCACGTGTCGCAGCTGCCAGATAATTTCCGTGCGAACCACCTGTTCCAGGCACCCGCGCGTTCCGGAGCCAGCCACCCTTTGGGCAGCATCTCCAGCCCTGGATTGCTTCCAAATGCAAACGTGGTGCCTGTGTGTGTGTGTGTGTGTGTGTGTGTGTGTGTGTGTGTGCTGGAGCAGAATCCCTCCAGACACTGCAATGGAATGAGAGCATTCCTATGAAAGAGTTCTGCTGTGCCTCTGCAGGAAATTGGGAGCCTGCTTGCCCCGGGGTGGGTGCATCCTTCCCAAAGGCTCTCACGCAGCAGAGAGAGGGTGATCCATCTCCTCACCTTTCCTTTCACCTTCCCGATGCTGACAAGGGAGTTTCTGTGTCCCCTTGTGCTGTAATTTTGGTTCTGAGCCGTGCTGCGCTGCCAAGTCACCGTCAGCAGCTGATTGCTCACACATTCCATGTGCCCAAGCATGTTGGTTTCCCTGGCTCCCCAGAACGGGCTGATTCATAAACACACAGGGGAGAGGGGTGAGCCGAGCAGCAGGAGCTGGTGTTTTGGGACAGATGGCACAGGCTTGGTGCCCCAGGAGCAGCACACAGCTCTAGGGACGTGTGTGGCACGGAGCCAGTGCTGCTGCTGAGGTGCCTGGAGGGGCTGTCACTTCCAGGGACAGGTTTCAGGCAGTGCAGGGACTGCCACACATGTCCTGGCCTCCCCAGTTCACGTGCCATGTCCTGGCCTGAATGGATGGCTGGGCTGAGTCTCGAGGATCTGGGTCCTCTCCACGTGGGTGCTGTGCGTGACCCCTTCAGCAGGATGGAGCCTGTGAGTGTAAAAACCCTCCCTGCCTCCTCTCCCTGCAGCGTCAGCTCAGCAGGTCCTTCTCCAGGGAAACCGGGCTCCTCTGGGTGCCCTGGGGATTGCAGATGAGCTGTGTGGATGGAGATGGCCCCTAATGGCACAGAGCTGGGAGCAGCCCTGGCAGTGCAGGTGCCGGCTTGCCAGGCTGTGTGGTGGGTGCTGAGCTGGCACCTGCCCAGGGTGGGTACTGGAGGGGTGAACGTGCTGCTCTGAGCTTTACCCACAGCCTGAAACGCTCCCCTTGGCAGGGAGGTGGAGCTGGGGCACTCAGGACATGCCACCCCTGTCAGGGAGAGGAATCTGCAGCTGCAGCCGGCGCTGCTGCGATTAACACAAGCGCATTAACCTCCTTCCTCTGCCTCTGCCTGCACAGATTAGGGGCCAAAGCCCTGGAGCTGCTGCCCGGGGTGCTGCTGTGAGGCAGCTCCTGAGTCTGGGGCCAGGGCTCACCCTGAGCTCTGCTGCCCAGCACAGCCAGGAGGCTCGGACAGCCCCTATCCCACCAGGGCAATCCCACCAGGGCAATCCCACCCCAGCTATCCCACCCATCTCCTCACCAGGGCCACGGGCACGGGTCAGCTGAGGGCAGGATCAGGCTGGCCCACTCCTGGCCTGCCAGTGGGATGTTTGCCAGCATGGTAATCCTGCCCAGGCAGGAATGAATCGGGAGCAGGGCTCAGCATATGGGTGGTGATTAGCGGGCACAGGGACCGCGGGGGCTGCCCACCAGCCATCCTGCCCACCAGCAGTGCCAGCAAATCTGTTTTCCTGGCAGGGGCAGCCTGTGCACCCTGTGTTGCTGCCCCAAGACACCTGCCAAGTGGTTCCTGAGTCCTGCCTGTGGATTTGGGGCTGAGGCTGAGCGAGGAGCTCATGGTCTGTTTGCACTGTGCTGGATGGTGTTTGCTCTTTGTGCAACTCCCTGATGTCGCTGCCTCCTGCTCCACCTCCTCCTTCTCTCCTCTCTGGGCACAACAAAAGGGGGTCCCACTGCACTCATGGCCCTTCCTGTCTTTCTTCCTTCTGCAGCTGAATATCCTGGTGGACACAGGGAGCAGTAACTTCGCTGTGGGAGCTGCACCACACCCCTTCCTCCGGAGATACTACCAGCGGCAGCTGTGAGTATTGTGGGGGGACACAGGGCACAGCCTCTCGGGCACACTGCTTCTCCTTGCTGCAGGTCTGGCCACACCCTGCCAGCTACGACCTGGCCTCTGGAGTGGCTGGGTGCACACAAACCCTGCTGGTCTGACTCGTCCCTTTGCTGCCCTTGCAGGTCCAGCACCTACCGTGACCTGCGGAAGGGAGTGTATGTGCCCTACACCCAGGGCAAGTGGGAAGGGGAGCTGGGCACTGACCTTGTCACCATCCCCCACGGCCCCAACGTCACTGTCAGAGCCAACATCGCTGCCATCACGGAGTCTGACAAATTCTTCATCAACGGCTCCAACTGGGAAGGGATCCTGGGGCTGGCGTATGCCGAGATTGCCCGGGTGAGTCCTGGCTGGCAGTCCTGGATGCCAGCACCAAAACGCTTCGGTTGCCTTTTTCCTTGTCCCTGTTTGTCCCCTGGGGCACAGCAGTGCTGCTGAGGGGAGCTCCCCTGGGTGCAGAGAGCTCCTGGAGAAGGGGCAGCACTGACACATCCCTGTCCTGCCTCTGCTCTCTCTGCCACCAGCCCGACGACAGCCTGGAGCCCTTCTTTGACTCCCTGGTGAAGCAGACGCGGGTGCCCAACATCTTCTCCCTGCAGCTGTGCGGGACAGGCTTCTCTCCCAACGAGACAGAGGCCGTGGCCTCGGTGGGAGGCAGCATGGTGAGCCCTGCACAGGCGGCTGGGGGGTTCCTGTGGCACTGCCAGCGCGTGGTGGCAGCGCCGTCCTGTCTGCCCTGCAGATCATCGGGGGCATCGACCGCTCGCTGTACGTGGGTGACATCTGGTACACCCCCATCCGCAAGGAGTGGTACTACGAGGTCATCATCGTCAAGCTGGAGGTCAACGGGCAGGACCTGAACATGGACTGCAAGGAGGTGGGTGGGCAGTGGTGGCACTGCCCCACGGGCACTGGAGGCACCCAGCATTGCTCAGGGGAGTGGGCTGGGATCCTGCACCTGGGTCACTCCTCCTTTCTGCCCCCCAGTACAACTACGACAAGAGCATTGTGGACAGCGGGACCACCAACCTCAGGCTGCCGAAGAAGGTGTTTGAGGCTGCGGTGAAATCCATCAAAACAGCATCTTCGGTCAGTGGAACCCATCCCTTCCCCACGGGCACAGCCCAGGGGCTGTGGCAGTGTAGCTGCCCCTCACCAGCCTGGCATCTCTGCTGCCTGCCCAGCTTGGCCCCACTCACCTTCCCTTTCCCTCTGGCAGACGGAGAAGTTCCCAGACGGCTTCTGGCTGGGGGAGCAGCTGGTTTGCTGGCAGGTCGGCACCACCCCCTGGCACATCTTCCCGGTGCTGTCCCTCTACCTGATGGGGGAGGCCACCAACCAGTCCTTCCGGATCACCATCCTGCCCCAGGTGAGTGCTGGGCTGGCCAGGCCCAGGCTGGAGAGGGCAGGGCACGGCTGGGTGGGCACAGCTGCCTCCCATGCCCCTTCCCTGAGCGCTCCCCTGCCCCTGCAGCAATACCTGCGCCCGGTGGAGGACGTGGCCACCTCTCAGGATGACTGCTACAAGTTTGCCATCTCCCAGTCCTCCACGGGCACCGTCATGGGCGCTGTGATCATGGAGGGTTTCTATGTGGTGTTCGACCGCGCCCACAAGCGCATCGGCTTCGCTGTCAGCGCCTGCCACGGTGAGCTGGGCCCGCATGGAGGGGACGGGGACGTGGGTGTGTGCCACAGACATCTTCTATGAAAAACCCTTTCCTCCTGAGAAGCTGAGAGGCCTCAGGGACAAAATGTAAACAATGGTTATCTGCTGCTGTGGAATGCAACAGTTGGATCTGATTGGTCTCCTAGAGTTGTTTCTAATCAATGGCCAATCACAGTCAGCTGGCTTGGGCTCTCTGTCCGAGACAGAAGCCTTTGTTATCATTCTTTCTTTTTCTATTCTTTGATAGCCTTCAGATGAAATCCTTTCTTTTATTCTTTTAGTATAGATATAATATAATATAATATAATATAATATAATATAATATAATATAATATAATATAATATAATGCCTTCTGAAACATGGAGTCAGATCCTCATCTCTTCCCTCACCCTCGGAGCCCTGTGAACACCATCACAGGTGTGCAGAGACCAGACCCTGCCTCCCTTCCCGCAGTGCACGACGAGTTCCGGACGGCGGCGGTGGACGGGCCCCACCTGCACTCCAACATGGAGGACTGCGGCTACAACATCCCGCAGACGGACGAGTCCACGCTGATGACCATCGCCTACGTCATGGCGGCCATCTGCGCCCTCTTCATGCTGCCCCTGTGCCTCATGGTGTTCCAGTGGCGCTGCTTCCGCTGCCTGCGGCGGGACCACGACGACTTTGCCGACGACATCTCCCTGCTGAAGTGAGGGCAGAGCGGGCACAGCCCCGGGGCTGCAGGTGAGGCAGCAGGGCAGGGCCTCGCTCCCGGGGTGTGGTGGAGTGTGGGGAGCTCACCCTGGGGACTCGGTGTCCATCAGGGCCAGCAGCCAGGGGAGCTCCATTCGTCTGGGAGCTGCAGCAGGAGCGTGGCACTGGGCACTGGGAGAGCTCAGCAGCCCCATCCCGGGCGCTGGGGGCAGCTTCTGTGCTCCAGCACCAGGACAGGACCAAGCTCTCCCACCCATCCTGCCTGGCTTGATGGAGTGACGCTGCTGAGCCATCCCCTGCCTGTCCCCCTCCATCCCTGTGCGTCCCTTTCCAGCTCGTCCCGTGGGGAAGCTGCCAGCCCAGGCTCTCCTGTAGGGAGCTGTGCTGCAGCTGTGCCTCCCCTGTGATTCCCTGCACTGAGCCAGACTCCAGGGATCACCCTGGAGCCATCCAGCCTCGGGCTTTTCAGAGACAGCCCTGCAGGGCCAGCCTGGGCTGCCCAGACAGGGCTTTCCCTCCTGCCCTGCTGCCCCTACACTGCTCACTCTCACATTTCCCCTGCATTTTCCTGCCTTCCCGAGCTGTGCTGCTGCTGCTGCCAGCCCCAGGACTCCCTGCACCCTCCTGGGACAGGCAGGAGCAGGCACCCATCCTCTCCTGGGACAGGCAGGAGCAGGCACCCATCCTCTCCCCACATCACATGGCATGGGAAGCTCCCTGCCCTGGCTTCCAGCATCAGCAGCGGCTGCCATGCAGAAGCCAGTGCCAGGAGTGGGGTTCCCAGCCCTGGCAGGGGCTGCTCCCCAGCCCACCCAGCCCTTTGTAAGCCATAGGGGAGCCTGGACCCCCCTGCAGCCCCCCAGCTCACCGCCAGCGCACCCCACGGCACAGCAGCTCCTCCCTGCTCACTCCACACGTCCAGGCCTGGCTGTGAGACACCCTGGCGTCCCGGGGACAGGCGGCAGCTGCGGGAACTGCAGCGTTTATTGTTTTGTAAACACATGGTTGTATTTATTTTTTTTTTCTTTTTACAAAGCGTGTCACTGGTAGCGCGTTGAGAGCGTGTACAGAGCCGGTCCCACGTGTACAGAGCACGGCTGCCTCTCACCTGTACAGTATATCCATATATCTCTATTTTTAATTCTAGCCCTGAAAGCCACTGTTCCAACGTTAGGGGTCGGTCCTGTTTTGTTTTGGGTTTTTTTTTTTAATCTTTTTAGCCTTCTGCTCAGCCATTGTTGGCAGCACGCAGGGCCAGGGCTCACAGTGCAGCCCCGTGTGTGTGGTGGGAGATGTGGTGGTGGCTCGAGGAGGGGCTGCCGGGCTGGAGCACGCAGAGCAGTGGCTCACTAGCCCAAAGGACCCTGAGCACAGAAGGCGCCTCTGTCCTCAGAGAGGATTTTCGGTGTGTGAGGATCCTCCCCGTGCTGCAGGATCACCGTCCCTTCCCCAGAGCAGACACCTGTGACCCTGCAGGCAGTGGTAGTGCTGTGTTCCCTTGCTTCTCTGCCTCCAGCCTGGGTAGGAAAGGGCTCAGACACGGAGATTCCACAGTTGAAAGGCATCACTCCTCCATGAATGCAGAGGGCATACCTGCAGTGCCAGGGCTGAGCTGGCAGCTGCCCACGGAGCCACCGGGTCAGGCAGGGACAGACTGGGCACCCACAGCACTCACCGAGCACAGAGCTTGGTAATTAACCCTGCAGCAAAACGTCTCTCTGGGAAGGCAGCGAGGGAGCCAGGAAACACCGGCAGAGCAGGAAAGCAGCCACCCTGCAGGGGCACTGCCACAACAGCCCCCACACTGCCCCTGCTCACACCGAGCCCCCAGCCCCGCTCCACACCCCACCCAGCCACTCCCTGCAAGAGGACAACGCTCTCCCCCACCCTCGTGCCTGCCCAGGACCCCCAGGACCCCAGAGACTCTGTTGTGGACCACTGCCTTAAAACATGCCCCGAGAGCTGGGTGGGCACCGGGGCTGCCAGCAGTGCCCGGTTCCTGCCACCGACTGCCAGGAAAGGGAGGGGGGATTTTTAGAGAGTCGTTGCCAGATTTTCAGCGGTGCTGAGCACCTCGCAATCCCACCGAGATCCATGGAGAAAGGGTTGGTGAGCCAGCCCAGCTTTAGCAGGAAGGACAGGAGGGGGAACGCAGGAATTGGGACAGGTTGGTTTATCCCGAGCTGCAGCGCAGCCGCGTCCCTGTGCTCCCTCCCCGGGCCCGGGGACAGCAGGGGAGGGGACAGGACAGGATGGGACCACGGGCTGTCGCTGGAGGCTCCAGTACTCTGTAACCCAGTGTCTATGTAAGAACAATGAATGTTAACACGGTAAATTATTATGACATTAAAATAAATGACCACAAAAATCGGCTCTTTGTCCGCAACTCATTCACTGGCACGAGGGGAAAAAGCAGGTGATGAATGGCAGGGATTGGGGCAGCAGGTGATGAGGAATGGCCCTAGGAAAGGAGCTGATGGGAGCCAAGTGGGAAAAGGTGGTTCCCAGCAAGCAGGGAACACTGACCCTCATTTGGAAGAAGCCAGCAAGGCTGAAGACTGAGAAATGAGGAGCTGCAGCAAATCACTGCATAATATACACACTTTATTTATGAATTTGTATGTTTACAGACTTTCTATACACACATTACCTATATAATAAAAATGTACATGTGTATACATGATCGTATAAATATAGAACTGTAGAAATCTTAGAACTGATCCTGTCTATTCACAGCAACTCCTCCCAGGGGCCCACGCTGTCCCAGCAGCCGTCATTTGAGGCTTGGGCAAAAGGGGCAAGTGTCATTCGTGTTGGTTTGTGCCCAGAATTTGATGCACTGGAAGAGAGAGAATTAGTCAAGAGCCACTGGCCCAACCCAGAGGTGCCATCATTGTCCACTTGATTCAGGGGTGGTTTCCTTTGCTCCTGCAGCCTCCAGCACAAGGTCACCGTGAGGAAGGAGCCCTTGTCACCCCTGCCTTAACATCAGGCCCTCCTCAACTGGAGTTTCCATTTCCTTGGGCCACTGAGGCCCCAGAGCTGTTGGGATGGGGGGCTGCCCACACAGGTGACCCACTGCCAGACCCATGGGACAGGAGCTCCTGTCTGGCATCCCCACCCAGACACCTGGGCAGCAGTGGCAGCTCTCCCCTGACCCTGTGTTCCAGATCCTTCCAGACTGCCTTGCTCCAGCATCCAACCCTCACAGACACAGGCTCAGGGACACAAGGGCAGCCTGTTCCTAAAGCCACCACCCCCTGGCCACGCAGGGTGGCCCAGCCAAGAGTAAAGGATGGGATGACAGGATGCAGGGAAGCTGTTTATTGATCGTACCCTTCTCCTGGCAAGGCGTCAGGACAGCAAGGACTCGGGAAGGGTCACCTGGAAGGACCAGGAGGAGGCTCTGAGCAGCAGAACACACTCACCTCCTTGTGCAGCACGTGTGAGCAGGCCATGGGGTGAAGGTCACCGGGCTGCACGAGCTTCTGGCACATCAGACACAGCTTACAGGCAGCTGGGGTCTGGGAGGAGGCAGGGAAGTCAGACACACAGCTCTGATCAGATTCAGCTGCAGCCCAAGGCCACAGTCCCCTCTGCCCACAGCCATCACACCCTGAGAGCCACCATCACGTCTCGTGTCCCTCTGTTCCAGTGTGAAACCCAAAGGATCTGTGCCCCAATCCTCCCCTTCACCTCAGCAGCCAGGCAGCTGTGTGAGGAGAGAGCCCCCAGCCCCAGGGGCTCATCCCATCCCTTCAGGACACCCCGGGCAGGCTCCCCCTCCCCAGTCCAGCCAAGCATCCTTACGTGTGACGCCGTTCCTGGGTAGGCGACCTGGGCCGGGGGCAGGAACATGGGCGTGCTGATCTGAGGCAGGGGAGCAGAGAACATGGGGGCCCTGATCCGGCCCAGAGGCTGCAGCGAGGCAGAGGAGGCACGTCAGAACAGCCAGGGACGAAAGGACAGAGGAGTCACCCCAGGGAAAACCATTCCCTGGTTACGCTGCAGTCAGCAGCACAGGGAGCCCAGGGGACAGCCCTGACACACAGCCCGAGCTCTGTGCCTCTGAGGAGCAGGGGCAGCTCTCCTGCTCCTCAGACAGCTCTCCTGCTCCCCAGGCAGCTCTCCCTGCTCCCCAGCAGCTCTCCTGCTCCTCAGACAGCTCTCCTGCTCCTCAGACAGCTCTCCTGCTCCCCAGACAGCTCTCCCGCCCCCCAAACAGCTCTCCTGCTCCCCAGACAGCTCTCCCGCCCCCCAAACAGCTCTCCTGCTCCTCAGACAGCTCTCCCTGCTCCCCACAAAGCTCTCCTGCTCCCCACAAAGCTCTCCTGCTCCCCATGCAGCTCTCCTGCTCCCCAGCAGCTCTCCTGCTCCCCAGGCCCCCGTGCAGCCCCAGGCTGTCCCACCTGAGCACCGGCCGCTGCCCGCTCCTGCTGCTCTGCCAGCTTGGCTGCCACCAGCTGGTTCAGCTCCTCCATGGTCAGGCCGGCCATGGTCCTGCGGGCAGTCTTGATCTGCTGCAGGATGTTGGTCAGCTGGGCCCTGCGTGGACAGCAGCCTGCTAAGAGCTCCTGGTGCTCACACACCGGGATCCCTCAGCCACCGCTGCCTGGGGGAGGCCGTGTGCTTCCCCTCCCCTCCAGGTGAGGTGAGCCATGTGCTGAGGAGCTTCTCTCCCCAAAGCACTGGGGACAGAGCAGGGAACCCCCCGAGCCAGGCTGGGGGGGCTGTGCCCAGATATCCCTGCAAAGCTCCCAGTGATCCCCATCCCCAGCACTAGGGCAGACCTGCTGGAGACCACCACCTCTGCCTGCCTCCCTTCCCGCAGACCCCACTGACAGCAGGAGTCCCCCTTGCCCTGATCCCAGCTCCCAGCGCCCTCACAAGCCCCTGCCCCCCAAACCCCCAGCAGAGCCTTACTTGTTGCACTGAGGGAAGCGGGTGAGCAGCTTCTCCAGCAGCTTCTCCAGCTTGTCGGCCGGCTGGGCCCGGGGGAACTCGGGGGCACCGCCCAGGCCGGGCGGAGGAGGGATGGGGGCAGCGGGCGCCATGTGGGGGCTGTGGGTGCCCAGCAGCGATGCCACCACCGGGCTGCTCCTGCCCTGGGAGGCGGGCAGGGGTGGGGAGGGCTGGTTGGGCCTGGACATGGCGGGGTTCAGCAGGGGGAAGGACAGAGCCCGGGGATCGGCGCTGGGCATGACCATGGGGACGGGCACGGGCCCGATGGGGAAGGGCAGCCGGGGGGTCAGGGAGGGGCTGGGCTGGAATGCCGTCAGCATGAAATCTGTCTGAGAAAGAAAAGCAGGGCAGGAGGGAAAGGCTGGTTAGAGATAGAGCGCCTGGAAGCAGAGCTGAGTGCCCTCCTCTGCAGGCAAGGTGGGAACTGCAGGCACAGGTGGCTGGAAAGTGAAGGAGACCCTTCCTCTCCTCTCTGGTAAGCCCAGACAGGGAATGGGCCACCCCACACATGCCCAGCACCAGGCAGGCTGTGCCAGGGCCTGGCAGCACCATGCTGTGGGGCTGGAGAGGCACTCACTTCTGAAGGTGGAGGAGGCAGCGTTGGTGTTGGGATCTGGGGGAGGCTGCTCAGCTTTGTGCCATTCCTCACCATCTGGATGTGGTCATTGAACTGATCCTGGCAGAGAGGGAAGAAAACAGGATTGTTTATCAAAGCTGAGCGAGTTTGGGCATTCCAAGGCAGGGGGTGGCAGGCCCTAAAGTGGCACTGCTTGGCTCCACAAAAGAAGGGAGAGGAGCTGAAGGGAGGAACGCGGTGTATGTGAAGGGCTCACTGTGTGTGTGAAGAACTGCTCACTGCTAGGCTGGGAGAGGTCAGCAGAACTTACTCGGACACTCTGCTTGGTCATACGTATCCTGTTGAGCCTCATCTCCCACTCCTGCTTTGGCCTCATGGTCTCCAGCGTGGGCGGTGCAGACCTGCAAGCACAGCTGAACTTTCCCACTTGCAACTGTGCTCTCACTGGCTGCAAGGTGGGAACAGCAACCCCCACACCCCCCTGGCTTCCCTGGCTTCTCCAGAGGGGTGGGAAGGGCTCACCCCCAGGTGGGGCACCCCACAAGGGAGAGGGACTGACCTGGGGGACACACAGGGACACCACAGCACTGGCTGATGAACAGTGACAGGGCACAAGCACAGCCCCACACACCCTTGCTGTGGGACATTACTGAATCACACCAAGAAAACCATAGGAAATCCTGAACTATTCCAGTCCAACCTCCAAGGTGAGCAGAGGAAGAGGAGAAGGGACACAGGGACACCTGAGGGACCCTCCCAGCCACTTCTGACACGACACAGACTTACTTGAGGTAGGTGAGGTGTAGCTCTGCTTCTTTTTCTGCTTCTTCTAGTTTCAACACCAGCAGCTCCTTCCGGCTCTCCAGGGACAGGATCTGTGAACAGAGCTCAGTTTTGTACTCCCATTTCTTGCTGCCAGCCCAGGCACTGGGCACAGCTCCCTGCTAATGCTCCCTGACACATGTTCATCTTTGCTCTTGTCTCACAGAGTGGGACTTGGCCTTGCTCCTGATTTCACAGCACTGCCCATTACCCAGCTGGAACCTCAAACCAGCCACTCTGCAGGGCAGGAGTCACCTGCTCACCTCCGCCTTCCAGGCCCGCTCTGTCTCCTCGAGAATGTTCCTGTTGATTTCATTGTGCTGGTTCTTCAGCTTGTCCAGCTCCATCTCCCACAGCTGCCTGCACACAGAACAGAGCAGAATGAGCCCCCTCAGGCTCAGGCACTGCCATGGCCCCAGAGGATGGATCCCAGGAGCTCTGGAGGGCTGGAACATGGAAGATCAGCAGTGTCCAGCCCGTGACACCAGCCCCAGCTCCCCGGGCTGTGTGAGTCTCTGTCCCAGTAGTGAGCTGCTCCACAGCACACAAACAAGCAGCATGCAAAGACACTGGGCCAAACAAGGGGAATTCCCCTCAGCAAAATTCAGTCCAACCCCAGGGAAGATCTGAACCAGGAATCAACCCAAGCAGCTCTGCTGTTCTGATCCTGGAGAAGTTTAAAGCTGGGCATTCCCACCTGTGCTTTGGGAACACCTGGAGCATCTCTGCCCAGCTTTAAACACCCAGAGTTTAGCGGAGCTGGACAGCTGTGGGGAACAGACAGGGCAATCAGTCTGCCCTAATTCTGGGGAGTTGAAGCTCAGTCAGAAGTAGCAGTTACAAGCTGAGTCAATCACCAAGCACAAGCTCTAATCTTGTGGGATCTTTATATCACAAGTATCCAGGAGTCTGCTTGTGGCTGGGATCAAGGAAGATTTAATCCAGAGCCCTGATGCTGAAAGAGGAGATAAAACCTCTAGGGCACGTAAGTGGCCAGCAGTGCTGGCTCACTGTCTCTGCTCTGGCCCAACCAAAGCACTGGATTCCCTCTGAGGCAGAATGACAGGAAGAACAGCCCTCTGGGCAGCACTAATCAGGTGAGGGATAAGAGACTTACTTCTCATCAGACTGCTCTGCAATCAGAGAGGCAATCTTGTTTTCCTTCTCCTCCTGCTCCTTCAGCAACCTGCACGGGAGAAAAGGAACAGCACAGCTGGAGGCCCAACACAGCAGGGCCCACATCCAAACATCCCCAACCCCACACCACGGGCTGGGGAGGGCTCCCTGCAATGTGTGTGGGAAAACAGCCACCAACAGCAGCCTCTGGAGCACAAATCCTGCTGTCTCATGACACTGCACAAAGCTGTGGCACAGAACCAGGCTGGCTGCAGGCAGCTGTGCTGCTCCCCCAGCATGTGCTCTGCCACCGTCACTCGGGGGAAAATGGCTGAGCACTCGGAGCCATCACTGGAGGAGTTTTACCCCAAAACACCACTGAGCCTCAGAATAAAAACCAGACCTCTAGGACATAACAGAATGGCTCCACAAAAATGCCAATTCAAATACATCCCAAATTCATCCATATACAAGTCTGACCTAAATACTCGCTGCTTCCTAAGAGTTTTCCTAAAGCTCTTTGCTCCATCAGGTTTATATCACGGTTAAGCAAGGTCTCCTTCCCCAAAAATAAACACTTTCTTTTCTGTACAAATACCTTCTGCCTTTCTCACACAGTTTCTCAATTTCAGCTTTGAGATCCTGCTCTTTCTGCAAGAATTCTTTCTTTTCTTTCTCCATCTTCTTCTTAGTCTCCTCTCGCTTGATCGTAACATCCTGAATGGCTTTCAGGATCTCCTGGAGTAAAAGAAGAATCACACAGATATAGAGCAAAATTACCAAGTAACGGTTTTGATTTAAAATACTTTTTTTTCTGATAAATTGGTTAATGAGATTACACAGCAAAGTCTTTATTTTTAGCAGATTGAGTCAAGATATAAATTGGTTATTATGAGGAAACTCAGGAGACTGATGCTCTGGACTGCAGGTTGTCCTGCCTCTTCATAAAGACTTTAAAATTAATTACAGGGCAGGTTAAACAAAAGCAGTTCTTCACCAAATACCTGGTGGTTTTTCATCTCCTCTTCCCGCCGCTGCTGGAGCTGTTTAAGCTGGACCTGCAGCTGATTCTCCACCTGCCTCTGTTTGTCCAACACCTCCTGGTAGCGCTCCTTCAGCAAGGCCCTCTCGGACATCATCTTGTCCTGCAGGAGAGAGGACAAGGACAGCCTGTAACAGACTTCAAGGCTGACATTTGATGGACTTGGTCTGTTCCAACTGCAATGATTCTGTGATTCTATTTTGACAGGAATAAAGTGGGAAGCACAGCTCCAGCTCCTGTGCCTGGGAGTGTGAGCAGCAGAGCCTGAGCACAGGGCTTTGATACCCACCAGGTTCTTCTCAATGTCCTGGTCTGTGTTCACGTCTGCATCAGCCGCCTTGAAGTCGGTCTGTGAAGGGAGATGATTGAGATCAGCCCCTGCAGTGACCAGAGAGGGACTCCAGCCCTCCCTGGGCACCTGCTCCAGTGCTCTGCCACCCTCCACAGAAAGGAGATGTCTGTCATATTGTGGTGACACTTATCATTTTAGTTTACGGCCATTGTTCCTCATCCTATAGCTGGGCACCAACAAAAAGAAGCTGGCACCATCCTCTGACACCTCCTGGAGATATTTATATGCATTAATGGGATCCCCTCTCAGACTTATCTAGCCCAACCAGGCTCAGCTCCTGCAGCCTCTCCATATAAGAGAGATGCTCCAAACCCCTCATCATCTTCACAGCCTCCACTGCATCCTTCTTCAGTAGCTCCTTCTTTTTCTTGTACTGAGCAGCCCAGACCTAAACATGGCACTCCAGATGTGGCCTCATTAGGGTCTAATTTTAATTAAAATTCAAGCAGAGGACCAGGCACACAGCGGTACAGATGTGTTTTACCCTTCAGTCACGGCTTACTCAGGTCTTTGTCATCTGGGAGCCTTGCAGGGCCATGGCCCCGCAGAGCAGAACCCCCGTAAGCCCCGGGGAGCTGCACCCACCTGCACCGCGATGTTCTGCGATGGCCTGGCCGGGGCCGCCTCCTCGTCGGGCTCCTCGGCCGCCGCTCCGCTCTGTCCCGCGGCCTCCGCACCGCCGGGCCCGGGCTCCGCATCGCCGCCGGGGCCGGGGGCGGCCGCGGGCTCCGCGTCCCCGCTGGGCCCGGGCTCGCTGGGGCTCTCCGGGGCGGAGAGCGGGCTCCCGCTGCGGAACGGGGAATGGCTCAGCCGCGGCCGCGTCCCGGCTCCATCCCGGCCCCATCCCGGTTCCATTCCCGCTCCATCCCGGCCCCATCCCGGCTATACCCCGGCCCCATCCCGGCTCCATCTCGGCCCCATCCCGGCTATACCCCGGCCCCATCCCCGCTCCATCTCGGCTATATTCCGGCCCCATCCCGGTTCCATTCCCGCTCCATCCCGGCCGCATCCCGGCCCCATTCCCGCTCCATCCCGGCCCTATTCTCGCCCCATCCCGGCCCCATTCCCGCTCCATCCCGGCCCTATTCTCGCCCCATCCCGGCCGCATCCCGGCCCCATTCCCGCTCCATCCCGGCCCTATTCTCGCCCCATCCCCGCTCCATCCCCGCTCCATCCCCGCTCCATCCCCGCCCCATCCCGGTGCGCTGCCGCCCCGCCGGGCCCCCCCGTTACCTGCCCGGCGGCGCGGCGGGGCCGGGCTCGCAGAGGCGCGGCGGGTCGGGGCCGTCGCCCTGCGCCTGTTCCAGCGCCATGGGGGCGGCTGCGGGGCTGGGCCGGGCCGGCGGAGCGGCACCGGGCGGCACCGGGGGGCACCGAGCGGCACCGGGCGGAGCGCACGACCCGCGCCCCCGCCGCGCCGCCCCTTCCGCCCCGCGCCCCGGCGGATGTGACGCCGCTGTCAGCGGCACCGCGGTTCCGGCGGCGGCGGCGGCTCATGCCCGGTGAGCGCTGCGGGGCGGCACCGGCGGGCGGCACTGGGCTCCGGGCGGCGGGAGGGATGCGCACCGGGCCGGGGAGCGCTGCCGCCGGGCCCGGGCGGGGGTGGCGGAGCGGAGCGGGGGTGCTGTGCCCGGGGGTGACCTCCGCGGTGTCCCCGGTGCCGGTGACCGGAGGAGCGGGGAGCGCCGCGGCTGCCCCGGGGCGCTGCGCGGTGCCGCTGCCGGGGCGCTTAAAGCCCGGCTTTTGGGGAGAGAAACGCGGGGTTCGGTGTGCGGCTGATGAGCTGTGTCAGAGGGGAATGGAGCGGGTTCCGGGAGAAAAGGGCCGGGGTGCGGAGCTCCGGGCACGGCCGGGGCAGCGGGACCTCGGGAGGTGTTTCCCCGCTCTGCGGTGCCGTGGTTTATGGACTGCGGGTTGAACCGGGGCTCGGCGGTGATTGCTCCCGTGCCAGGGAAAAGCCTGTTCCTCCGGCCGTGGGGCAGGTGAGGAACGAGTTCCGTGGGGCTCCTGCAGAAGAGGAACCGGCTCTGGGCTGCCCGCGGAGCATGGCGGTGCCCGTGGTGTTTGCTCTGGGGAGCCACGCATCAAGAGTTTCTTATCAGTTCCTTATCAGAGGCAAGAGGGGGAAGTGGCTGCTCCTGGCAGCCCAGTGCGGTGTTTCCGGGCCCGGGGCTGGCACCCAGCAGGGCAGGGCAGGGCAGGGCAGGGATCGATCCTTGGCTATGCCTCCCCTTCTGAACCCTGGGAAGGAGCCGCTGGTGTTTCCCGGGAAGGGGATCTGCCATGCAGCGGGTTGGTGGCATCCCCTATGGGGATCTCTGTGGGACCTTCAGGTGGCCCTGGCCACCGTGTCCCTCATCAGGAGGGGTTGTCACCAGTTTCACCTGTGCTGTTACAGCCCTCCTGTCTGATGCCGCACTGGAGGCGGGGAGCGCCGCTATGGAGTGCGGGGATGGAGGCCACGCTCTGCATCCACACGTGCCTTTGGCTCAGCGCTTCCTGGATCCCCCTGGCCTCGCCGGCCCTGGACGCTGAGGGCAGCCACGGGAAGCTGACGTGGGCGGTCAGCCTGGAGGCACCCGAGGAGGAGCTGGAGCAGCGGGCAGAGGAGCTGGCCCGGACTGCGGGGCTGGTGAACATGGGCCGTGTCGGGGAGCTCAAGGGCCATTACCTCTTTGCCTACCAGCCCGACGGCCATGCGGTGGCTGAGCACGAAGCCATCAGGAGGTCCGTGGACACTTTGTTTGCACAGCACGACAGCGTGCGGTGGCACTCAGAACAGAAGCTTCTGAAGCGCTCCAAGCGCAGCCTGCACTTTAACGATCCCAAATACCCCCAGCAGTGGCATCTGGTGAGTGGTTTCCCGGCTCCTGCTGTGCTGCCAGGCTCGGGCTGTCTATGTGGCCATGGGAGAGCTGTCATGCAGGAGGCAGAGCGGCCTCTTTCTGTGCTTTGGTGAGGAGGGAGCTCGCTGAGAGCTCGCCCTGCGTGCCATGTGCTCGCTGTGATGATGGGAGGAAGCAGCTCCTGCAGCTGGTTGTGCACTGGTGGCACTGGGGCGAGCAGAGGGCTTTGGCTGGAGCACACTGTGCCCTCCAGCTCATGGCTCCAGCAGCTTTTGCTCATTGTCAGCCTGAGTTTATCTCCCCTGACTGTCCTGTGAGTCCTTCCCGTGCTGGTCCCAGCCCCACACATCATGTCCAGTGCCCCCAGGAGGTCCCCTCAGCGCTGACCCTGTCCCCTCACTGTCCCTTCTGGTGCTTAGAACAACCACAAGAGCCCCGGCAAGGACATCAACGTCACGGGCGTGTGGGAGCGGAACGTGACGGGGCGCGGGGTCACGGTGGTGGTGGTGGACGACGGCGTGGAGCACACCATCAAGGACATCCAGCCAAACTACGTGAGTGCCTGTGCAGCCTGCAGGCCGGGCAGTGTGACAGGAGTGTGTGCGAGCTCAGGGTCCAGCCTGTGCCGTCACCTTGGCTCTGCCAGGGCGGAAAATGCCAGCAGCAAACCTTTCCTAGGAGGTTCTGCACCCAGGTTTTGGGGTAACCTGCCTTTGTGCAACCCGTGGGAGGCAGCTGGCATCCCTCTGACCCGCAGCAGTGCCTGGAGCTGCCCTGGTTGGTCCTTCCCCACAGCAGAGCTGGCAGTGATGAGCTGCAGCCCTGTGAGGAAGCAGCCTCCAAGTTCCCGTGATGCCCAGCCTGTGTTTCAGCCCGTGCTGTGTTCTCTTAACTCCTGCTGTTCCCAACCTGAGGGGAGCAGAGCCCAGTCCTGAGCGTGGCTCTGTTTGCAGAGCCCAGAGGGCAGCTATGACCTGAACTCCAACGACCCTGACCCCATGCCTCACCCCGACGAGGAGAACGGGAACCACCACGGCACGCGCTGCGCCGGGGAGATCGCGGCCGTGCCCAACAACAGCTTCTGCACCGTGGGCGTCGCCTTCGGCAGCCGCATCGCGGGTACGTCCCCTGCCAGGCTGCCAGGGCTGCCCCCCATCCTGGGTACTGCAGTGTCACCACTACAGCTCGGATGTGCCTGAGCTGGGCTGGCCCTTGGTGCTGCACAGACAGCGGCACAGGGGACAGGAGGGTTTGCCCCAGATCCAGCAGGAGCTGGCGCTGCCTCAGCCCTCCAGAGCTGGGCTGGCCTTGCAGGGTGAACACAGTGGGGCAGCCTCGAGCCAGGAGTGTTTGCAGTTTGTGCAGCTCATGTGACCCATGTCCCTCTGTCCTGCAGGCATCCGAGTGCTGGACGGGCCCCTCACGGACAGCATGGAGGCCATTGCCTTCAACAAGCACTATCAGATCAATGACATCTACAGCTGCAGGTGAGCCCTGCGACCCTGAGCTGGCTGCCAGCCCTGCGCTGCCTGGGGACGGCTCACAGCTCGTGGCTGAGTGCTCACACCAGCTCCCATCCTGCTGTGGCTGCAGTTAGCCTTGATAACCTTGTTATCAGATAGCCTTGTTAACCACAATCCTGTTCCTGGAAACCTGTCCTGGGCTCTACACAGCTCCTACAGGTGTGAGATGTCCCTGTGTGTGCTCTTGTGGCTGCAGTTAGCCTTGAGGCACCACAATCCTGTTCCTGGGCACCTGTCCCGGGCTCTGCACAGCTCCTACAGTTGTGAGATATCCCTCACTACAGCACATCCTCTGGGCTGGCTGTGCTGGAGGGGGCACTGTGCTCCCCTCTGTGGTCAGGCTGCCCCGGCTGAGCCGTGTGACGGGGACTGGAATGTGTGAGAAGCCTCTTGTTAAATAAAAATCAAACGTTTTGTGCGCTGGAATCTGACCCAGGGGCACAGTGCAGACACGGCAGCCGTGTCCCAGCAGTGAGGGGCCATCCTGACGGGTGGGAAAGTGCAGTGCTCTGCAGTCCCAGTGGTGGCTCTGGGAGCAGCCGGGAGCTCGCTGTGGTGGCAGGAAGAGCCGCCTGGGGCTGTCACCTCACCCTGTCTCTCTTTGCAGCTGGGGTCCCGACGACGATGGGAAGACTGTGGATGGCCCCCACCAGCTGGGAAAGGTAAATCCCAGCCCCAGCAGCCCTGGGGGAGCCTCCAGGGTTTGTGGCTGTTGCCTGCCCGTTCAGGGTGAAAGAGATGTGGCTGTGACACTCTGCACGTCTGTGTGTGTCCCTTGGTGCCAGCTGAGGTGTCCCTGGTTGGGAGAGGCCACGCTGTGTGCAGGCAGGGCAGGGCAGGGCAGGGTGAGCTTTCCAAGGAGAGGCTGCTTCCAGAGGGAAAGGCTCTTTCCCAACCTGTGGAAGGTGTGGCACTGACAGCCTGTGCAGCCCACGGGGTGCTCTCTGCTCAGGAGTTGGAGCTTTCCCTGTGCTCAGGGTGGCTCTCCAGGCAGGGATGGTGCCTTTGGATACTGGCAGTAAACAAAGGGGGGTGGGATTGCAGTGGGAGGCAGAGCCAGAGCTGAGGCTGCTCCTTCCCAGGCCATTAAGGTTTTCTCAGAGCTCCTGTGCTGCAGAGCTGCTGCAGAGCACACCCAGCCTGCCTGTGCTGCAGCAAGGGGTCACTGAGGGGCCCCAAAAGCAGCACTGGGGTGTGGTTCTGCTCCAGTGCTCTGCTGCTGCTGTGCTCTTCCAACCACAGCTCAGCAGCGCTGACAGCCGAGCTGTTCGTTCACCATAACAAATGGTTCCCAGTCCTGCAGGTTAATTTATTCCCTTCCTGCCTGCAGAGACAGCTGGAACAAGCTCCAGGACACAAAGCACAGGCAGAGCTCGCCGTGCCACAGAGAATGGGCAGAATGTGCCCTCATCTGCCAGGGGAGGGAGAGCAGGGTGCTCACTGCCAGTGGGGCTGTGTTCTTGCTCATCCCTCAGACAAGTCCTTCCCCTAGGTGGGAGCAGAGTCTGGGCTGAAATGTGCTGAAACTCTGCTCCTTCCCCTAGGTGGGAGCAGAGTCTGGGCTGAAATGCGCTGAAACTCTGCTCCTTTCCCTGGGTGGGAGCAGAGCCTGGGCTGAAATGTGCTGCCAGGTGGGGCCCCAGCTGTGGTGTGTGCCAGCAAAGGCAAAGCCCCGGGGTCTGTGGGGCTGGGCACTCAGAGAGGGGCACTGGGGAGCCCTGGTCCCACGTGCTGGGCTGGCTGCTGCAGGAAGCCCTGGGATCAGAGTGGAAGGAGTGCAAGAAGCCCCCTGCCCTGGGGTCAGTGTGGAAGGAGCCCCCTGCCCTGGG